CTATCGTGTTGAACCAGCCTTTAGCCAACAATAGCCACATTCCAGTCATGGGATTCATCCCACCAAGTTTAAGTTATGGTAAGAGGTCAATAACATTTGAAAACAGTTATGGCAGGTCTTCTCCCAAACTGCTAATAGCTAGGATTGAGGAGTATGTCTGGAGCAGAACCAGGCACAGAAAAAGTTTTCGTTCCAGAACATGCTCTACTAGCTAAACAGGTGACTTCACTAATAATGCTCCTCTGTTCGCACACTTTAGATGACAGAATCACCCAATGGTTTGGGTTGGAAGGGACCTTTAAAGATCATCTAGTCCAACCCCTCTGCCATGGGAAGGGACATCTTTCACTAGATGAAATGCTTGAAATGATGCTCAAAGCCCCACCCAACCCAACCATGAACATTCCCAGGGATGAGGCATCCACAACTTCTCTGGGCAACCGGTTCCGTGTCACACCACTCTCATAGCAAAAAATTCATCGTGATATCCAATCTAAATCTTCCCTCTTTCGGTTTAAAACCATTGCCCCTTGTCCTGTCACTACAGGCCCTGGTAAAAAGTCTTTCTCCGCCTTTCTTATAAGTCCCTTTTAAGTACTGTAAGGCTGCAATAACATCTCCCCGGAGCCTTCTCTTCTGCAGGCTGAACAACCCCAACTCTCTCAGCCTTTCGTCCTAGCAGAGGTGTTCCAGCCATCTCTCTCTCTGATCATTTTCACGTCCCTCCTCTGAACCCGCCCTAACAGGTCCATGTCTTTCCTGTACTGGGAATGCCAGAGCTGGACACAGTGCTCCAGGTAGGGTCTCACGAGAGCGGAGTAGAGAGTGAGAATCACTTCCCTCGACCTGCCGGCCACGCTGCTTTTGATGCAGCCCTGGGTAATTGGCTTTCTGGACTGCAAGTATACGTTGCGGGCTCATATCCAGTTTTACACCCACCAGTATCCCCAAGTCCTCCTCTGCAGCGCTGCTCTCAATCCATTCATCACCCAGTCTGTACTGATACTGGGGACTGCCCCGACCCTGGTGCAGATCTGCTGTGTTGAGAATTTTCTTTCTTTTCATGTTTCTGTTCTGTTTTTCCTCCAGGTGCACCAGATCCAAAGTTGACTTATAAACTCTATAAACAATGCTGAATGAACTCACATATCCTCGGGGCCTGAGTGTGATTGCTTCTTGGGGAAGCAGAACGTGAGAACTATTTCCTCCCACTCAAAATAAATCTGCTGCAGATAGAAGTGTTCTGAGGACTGTTTGTCTCTCAGGCAGCTTAACAATCTTGCATTCAATTCCAGCACAGTGCCAGTTTATTTTTTTTTCAAGAAAGATTCAGATTTGATCCATTCCTTGCAGCCATTCCTGAAGACTTGGTAGAAGACCTTATTCTACCTCAGTAGTAGTTTCTGTTAGCATCAGTTAAGAAAACAACGTAGGTTCTTCTTCCACCATGTGGAAGCAACACTTCAGAGATAAGTGACAAGGCTGCTTTACAGCTAAAAAGTTCAGGTGTATAGGTGAGAAGCTGGAATTCAATCTCATGCAATGGTAAATATCTTCAATTTACGCAGGCTCAAGTGACTACCCACACACTGTACCACTGAGCATTCAATGATAAGTTACTGTCTAGAAATTGGATAGCAGAAAAAATATGAGCAGTGCCTGCAGACATATTAGGAAAAGGTTGCAAAAGTTGTTCTTTCTGATGCAACTTCTGTGTTCTTCCACTTGTGACTTGATCTTCAACACGATGTCAAACTACAGTGGAAAGGACCTGATCCCTCCCAGACACAGTTGTTTCCTGTGAGAAATACAACTGGAGCATCGAGATCACACTATTTACTTATATTTGCCCAGTCTTGGTTAAAAAATTGTTAGTTTCAAAATTCTCAGATAAGACCATCTTTTGACTATGTTGCACTTCAGTCAAGTTTGCTAACTTATTGCCAAATCAGACATTTGCTGAAAATAAGTTTGTATCAGATGCCTCTACAGGTAAAAAAAAGTTTGACAGAAAAGCTGGTGCACAGAAAATAAAAATGAAAAGCAACTCTGACTGCAGAATCTACATGAAGAACTTTTCTTCTCAGCAAAGCTTTAAGGGAACCAATCACAATACAACTTACAACAGCAACACTAATTATTCTGCCAAAGAAGCAATATCCAGAACAGGAATTCTATCTTTGTTAACCATGCCACAACTATAATCACAAACACACACACCACCAGGAGTAGCCAAAGGACAGCACTAGTGGGGGTAGGAGTTGGATGGGGCAGAAAAGCAACTGGGTAAAATCCTAGGGCAGCTAGTGCTCACCATGAAATTTACACTTAATCTGAGTCATTCATATCGTAATCCGTTTCTTCATCCTCACTCTGAGTGGCATGCAGCATGCAGCAAGCATAGAGAAAAGAAGGGAAAAGAAGAGATTGCAAGTGAGCCAGAGCTGCAAGAAAGTACAGTCCACTTACGCTTGAAGCATCTGGGAATGACATTTATTTACTTTTATCTGGGACCCCCACTCTTTGTAAGAAAGTATGACAGCAGACAATTTCAAGGAGGAATGTTACAGATTTAATGAAAATCTCCTTTTTCAAATGCCCTAAAGTCATCAGATAGAAGCCAATAGTGCCATGCAACATAACAATAAAGACCATAAGTACAGTGAAAATATAAATACAACTGTAAAGCTGGTACCTTAACTCCATGTACTCTTTGCCACGGATGGGAAAGGATAGCACTTGAGAATCTACCTAACTATGGATGCAGACATTATGAACAAGCTTTAGTCATTTGTCCCAAGAGTGACAGGTCAACAAAGTGGTACAAAAGAGAAGAATACTCATGGGAATACAGATTACCTTGCACTAGTGCCACGGCTACCAGTAAAAGCCACTGGAACCATTTAAGTCAATGTCCCAAATGCCATTAAATTCCTTCGCTTAGGTGTATTAGAAGGTTACACGGAAGTCAACTACTAACTTACTACGCAAACTGTTTTCCAAAAAAATGAAAATGCAAGGAAAAAAGTCTCTGAGGAGGAATGAAGGTGAAGCTTGATTAGATGGGCTATCAGAAAACGCTTTTTCCTATTCTGAAAGTCCAGTACTATTAATTAAAATTGAAGTGCTTGTCAATAAAAATGACATACTGGCAGTTTTTTGTTTTCTCTAACCCATCATGCTGTAAAAATAATAGGAAGACTTTCTCATGGCTTCTAAAAGTCAGTCCCAGTACATGAACACCTTATTCTGTATATATCACTGGACACGAGAATTTCAATCATACGAACTTCATGAAGACCAGCTCAGACACTAATGAACAGATTACAGGCTAGGGGATTAATGCTGGCTAAGAGGGAACTATTGAGACAACAGGTCCCAAGGTCCAGTCAAGATTCCTGAACACAGCTGTCAGAAGCCTCTCAACCAAAAAGAAATTTTTGGGTTTTTTTCTTTTTTTTTTTTTTTCCCAGGCACAACATATACCTAGGAAAAAAATAATTCATCTATTAGGAACACAATATATAAAAAATGATTCGTCAAGTATTGCCATTAATTGCTAGCAACAGCTCAACTCTTCCAGGACAAAAGGCACGAATGCTTACATCTCCAACCAAAATTAACAGTAATTGTTATTCATCACCCTGGTCAAATTATGCTCTGCTCTCTTCTCTGAAACAATGACCAAGAAGCACTTCAATGGAGAGGTCTAAGATTTAGCTTCTCTCGGAGCTATTGAATTTACAGAGTTGTACTGCACTCTGAACTAGCTCTTGTATTTACGGTTTAATAGGCTCACTTGATCCCTATTTTCTTTTACATTAAGGATGCAATGTAATTCTGGCAACCTCTTAAGTTCCCTGAAGATGTACTACCATTCCTTATGAAGATGTTTATTAGGTTCTAGAATTCCATGTTTTATTTCATGTACATATCTCAGCCATATATTATTACCACACACCTCTTTAACTCGTCAACTTTTAAAGTTTTCCTGAAGCATCCTGGCAAAAGCAGACCTTTTTGAAAGAGTGAGCCACAGCTTACCCAGGTTCACTGTTTACCGTTGACTACATTAATCCCTTACAACTCTTTGGAAGTTTTCTCTCAACAGTGGCAAAAGAGCATAAATTAATCATTTCACTAAGAATCCAACATAAAACTTGGAATATTTTTATAGTGCAATTTACAAAAATGTCTCCATATGTGTAGCTGCATAAACAAGTTACAAGGCACAGAAAGTAGTGAAGTTTTTATCTATTTGAGGCCTCGGTGCAAAGACCCAGACCAATTCTTTGCATTATTTCAAGATTAATTTCTTTGAAGGTGATTCTTGAAAAAGCAACCCTTGATGTTTTACCAGTTGTTTCCCATCTACATATACTAAATGAAAAGCTTTTAAGCCAACTACAGAAGTATCCAGTTTGTCTGTAGCCATCTCCTCATACAAAGCAACAATACAGTAAGAACTGTTCAATATGCATGGAAGAGAAGAATACACTGACATACGTTAACTGGTCTGCCTTATTACTATTCAGTTGTGTTTTTACATTTTCCCTTATACAAACTCTGAAAGACAACTGAGTAAAAGGCTAAAATATTGTTCCCATTACAATCTTTTTGTAAAGCTGGTTACAGAAACTAAAGAGAACTAGGTAGAAACCTGAAAATATTAAGCTAACAAATACCTTCAACTTATAACATATCGACATGACTGTTTTTCGGAGACAGCATATTACAATCTCCATTCTTGACAGTAAGATTTCTTCAGTTGAACTCAAGTAAGAAAAAGAGTTTTCAACTGAAACAGTGGCAGAATAAGGAAGCATTCAAATGTGTAAGAAACAAAACCTAGATTCGCAACTGTAAACAGCAAGTATCCGCCAATACGCGAAAAAACAGGACAGGTATCAGGAACAGTACAGAGTATTTCATTTAAAGAACCCATTTGGTGTAACAAATGCATGATGACTGTACCATTTACAGTCTCTCATACAATGGATATTATTAGTCATGAGCGAGGGGAAAAAAGCCAATTAAATAACGGTCCAGAACAGAGGTAGGTCTAGCACGACTTAGTGAAGCCCACCCAATTTGACACCATTTCTTTAGTCCAATGTCTAGTAACTTACCTTTGCTTTTTCACTGGGTTCACTGGTTGTGCCATAGGGAGTGTTATGCAATTCCTTTGAGACAACACACAGAAATTCAGCCTGATCTTCATTGCCATAGTTATAGGAAGAACCAATACTGACCAGCTGAAAGACGTGAAGGGGGAAAAAAAAAAAAAAAAGTCAATTGTATTTCCACATAGAACAAATTCCATAAATTCTCACCATTAGTACAAACACTCCTCACTTTTCAGACTGTTGGTTGTGCCTGAAGCATGATTCTCCACTTCAATGCAAATATGTTTTGATGTCGATAAATACACTGATGGTAAGATAAACATAGCTTTTCTTTTTAAACATTTACAGAATTAGTGATTTACGGTTATGATTATACTGTGAAAGAAAAGGCTACAGAGGCAGGTCAGTGGAGAAGTAGCCTGTTCCCTATTTTATTTACTGAAAACCTTCCCATCCTCCAAAGTTAATTTTTAAAAGGTTTGTATGTGGTATCTTAATGTGGCATGATTTAACATGTAAATGGCTGCAGGCAGGCAGCACTTTAGCCTGAAGGGATACCCACCATTTACCTACAGAATAACAATACTTCTATTAAAACATATTTTGAGTGGACAAAGACAAAATTTGCATTTGATTGGAAAACAGCAAGACACAGTATGGTGGGACACCAAGATTAACATCTGAAATTCGTATGTACTGTTACAAGGAAGTTAATTAAGGAAGCGCTACAAGCGGAAGCCATGTATAATGAAATGTGACGTATTTACAAGCTTCTACAAGTCTCGATATTGAATGATAAATGACAATTTACTGAGAAAGAAGGATACACTCAACACCAGTACTACCTCGTATGCAGCATGTTTATCAAATGGCAGAAATTTCATGTAACTTGTCTTACCTTACACACAGTACACTTACCTAATGCTAGAAGCTTTACATAGCCTGCCTTTCCAAGCCAGAATCAATTCTGACACAGATCAAGGTCCTAAAAATCAACCTGTTGCACAGATACGCTGTATCTAAATGTCATTACCCAAGCTGTACTAAATCTACCTACCAAATCACCACACACATGTGATAAGGCTTTCCTATTCCCCAATCTCTACTATATCATTAAAGTGCCCTACTAATGGACCCATAGAAAAGGCTTGACTTGTTTTTTAGGGCAGCAACACCTGAAACACTGTAGTTATTGGTCTAAAAACAAACTATGGACTGCCATTAGTCCAGCAGAGCACCAAAGAGTAAAAGCTTGTTAAAGCAGGGAAGATGCAGCCAAGATGAAATCCTGGTCCAGAATCTGTACTTGAGGGATAAGATTATTCCCCCAACAAAAGCAGAAGGTATACCAAGGTTAAAAGTAGCTTCCATATAGCGCTGTCAGGAGAAAATAAAGCCTCATTGTACTTTTAAGGAGAGAGAGGAGAGAGATGCTCAGATGTTCTAGCACTGTAGTAAGACAGCCAAGCAAGCACCTCCAGACAGACAGAGCCGATGTCTACAAAGAGCAGCAGGCAGTATGTCTGCACAATGAACCAACTTGATGCCAGGCCTAGGCAACGTCAAAGTTTCCGGACCCTGATGGTACTACAGCATACAAGGCTCAGCCTCCAACGAACAGTACTGGCAATCAAAATTCAGCACTCTCAGACCACCTACTTTAACTTCTCTGTCTGGGTGTGATCACCAGAAACCTTTCCCTCCCTACTCCACTCCTAACATCACTCTAGTTCTGCAAAACACATACATACTCAGTAATGAACACAGGCTGATCAAAAATGAATGTGATAAAGACATTTTTTTCCACCAAAACCATGTAACGAAGTTACAAACCCCCAGTTTTGTCAGAAGCACCAATACACCCTCACTGGAATACAAAGGAACCATTTATCTGGAGACATTAAGTCAGATAATCTTTCACAATGGACACTGCATTCTGCACTGTAACATATTTATGTAATATAGAATCACAAAACCCATAAAGTAACTAGTTGCTTAGTTGCACAAAATGGACTAAGAAAGTCCACTGAAAACCTGGAAAATCAACCCAGACTTACTTCACATATAGAGATGATTTTCTGATTCTCTTCCCTGTCACCAAAAAATATCATGCACAAATTTTCAGGAAAAAAAAAAAACAGTTAAGTTGGCTCCAAGCCTGTTAAAGTGGTATAAAGTTTATCCTATATATCATATAGCAATTACAAACCATATAATACAAATACAGTAACTGCTTCAATTATTGCGTAAAATGTAGGACTATTTTAAACTGTATTTTTAACCCACTTCAAGGCTAGAAATCATTCAATAAGTTGGATACATGTTTAAATAAAGCCATGCATAATTCACCTTCTCTGAAGAGAAATTTGAAGAATAAAACTCAAGCGTATGATTTGATCTAGTATACAGTCAACTTTTCTTCTGGCAAAATGGCCAGAACTTGGTATTGGATAAGCTATGATAACAACTACCAGCAGGAAAAATACTTCTTTACTCGTTGACGCTCAAAAGAAATAAATTACCTTTCTCAAAGCAGATGTGATACAAGATCCAAACATCAGCCAAATCATCAATCCTGGTTCAACAAGGTTGATAAGTCCTCACTTGATAGCTACTTACATCCCCCACTAATGCTTCATAATCCAAATAAGTTGACCTTTTGCACATAAGTCTTTTTAGGAGATGTGGCAGACTGACTACGTATTAGCTAGTTGGACAGGACTATTGATTTAGCTGTCTGCAAACATCTGGATGACTTCTTGTCATTATTAATCAGCTGGTGCATTTCAAGATAAAGTCACTTTTGCAACATTAAACACAAGTTCTTCAAAACTCCAACACATGATACTCTTGTAAGCAGTTCCATGTGTGTGCAACTAAGAATGTATTATTTGCATAGTATCAATAGCATGCTAGAAACTTCATCGTAGCTTTTTGAGATGCATCAGCAACAATAAGGGTGATGGCAGAAGAAGAAACAATGGAAAATGATTGCAGATTGGGACTGAGCTGTTGTGTCAGAAAGTATGATCAGAAATAAAGCAATATTTTAGCACTTGTATTCCAAAAGTCACCCCACTGTTCCCAGTGTTGGTGGCAACACTTTAAGAAGAGTGCTGATAAACTGGAAAGGATTCTTCCCAACTCCCCCACCCCATGTCCATCCGTCCCTGCCCCCCTTCAAAAAAAAAAAAAAAGAACCCACAACAAATCAGAGTAATCCAAGGTCTGCAAAGCATGCATGCAGAGGAAAAGGACTTCATATTATCCAGCATACTGTTTCTCAGACTTTCTGAAAGGACAAACTCTTTTTGGCTCATGGGGATTAAACAGTAGAGAGAGTTTTAATGACCAAGAACTTAAGGAAGGAAAAAAAGAACATTTTGAAACCCTGAATTTCATAGATTTGTATGATTATATATACATATGTATACATGCATGTATGTATTTTTCCTCATTGTTTTTTTCCTTCCATGACTTGCTTCATTACACTCCTTACTAAAGCAGAGTGACCCTGCTTGAGCGTCCCTGCGAGCCCTGACAGTGTCATAAATGAGCACAGGAAAATGCCAATGTTGCGTATCACAGAAAATTCATTAGATCGTGATCCATTCACTGTTTGCATGGAATAAGGGCACTGACACTAGTAGGCTGTCAGCTGTAACTAAAAAAAGCAGGAATAGAAAGCAGCATAATTATTATTAATCAGCAGAAATACAGTTATTTGCATTATATTGCTTGATGTGCCAATAAAGGTCAGGATTTTCCTGAAAAGACAAAGAAAGAACAACAGGGAAATTCCTGTCTCACAAAGCCTGAACTTTTAAGTAAGATAAAAGATGACAATCAGAAAGGGCAAAGTTAAAAAAAAAAACCCAAACCCACTTTGGCATAAGTAAAGGTGGACAGAAACTACCTGATGCCCAGCTACGGTCAGGCTTGTTTTTAAAGAGGAAAGATTTAAGAATGATTTCAGGGACAATAACGAAGTAACTTTCTGAAGAATGTTTCCTAAGTCTGCAGCTCTACGAGAGGATAACTGTGTCTTTCAAAAAAGACTATTTAAGAAGAACAGATGACAAAAGCGGTATAGCTGAGAGAATAGGTCAAATGATTCCTGCATCAAGTTACTCAACAGCAGAATCTCTTCCTGTCTTAAATCAATGACTGTATACCTAAAAATATCCCTATGAATAGTCAAAATGGTTGCTGCATCACTTTTAGGAACCTTATTTTTGAAGAGAACAAATCTCATGCTTAACTGAATTGAGACAGATCTCAAAACCAGCCACATTCCAGTAACTTGCCTATACAGATTTGCTATACTGGTTTAGTAATATTGATTCAGAATCTATACAGTACATTTACAGGACAAATTAGTAATAGTATTACCATCACAGATAACCACTCCAACTTGCACAAACAGCATCCCTGTCTTTCTCTGCTTCCCACTGGAGTTACTCATATTGACTAACTCTTCTACTTCACAACTACCAATTTCCTTCTCTTTCTGTGATGGTCCGATTCTGAAAACTGAGTAAATTTTGTAACAATTATTCTCAAATTCTATTTTAAATATTCTTATACTTTGAATATTACTGCTTCTATTTCAGACGTGGTGAACTCCTTGTACACTAGAAAGCTTGCTTTGGAAAGCTCGTCTTTTTCTTTTTTTTAATTATACTAACTAACAGTTGATAGAATAAAAGAAAGTCCTCCCCTCAGTTTTTTTTACAGAATCAATTTCTATGAATGTAAGAATGGCCTCTACACCTTTTAGAGTTATAATGCATTCATTCTACTGCCTTCTCAAAGGATTTGCAAAAGGCTATAAAGATACATACACATCAGCCATTAAACTCAGCACTGATGACTGATACCAGGACCGCAAACAGTTATTTCAGGTCTCTCAATGCAACTGTCAGACTTCAAATCTAGGAGGAAGGAAAATTCATTCCCTTCCAGATTTTTTTTTTTAATTTTTATACCTACCTTTATTTCTTCACTGCCTTCCCCATCTCCCATTTTATTATGCTGAATTTTACTTTGAGCCATCTAGGACACAAGTAACACACAAATAACATCATGCTGCCTGTACCCTACACATCCTTAACAACAGGCCACACTTCCTACTCAGTTCCAGAAAGTCTGCAAACCCAGTGCCTTAATTCCACATTCCAAATGCCATCTATACAACTGCAAAAAACAGACAGTGCTTGCTACATTGAAAACAGGTTCTGGAATATAGCTAGGCGACAGTCCAGGTTTAAAATCTAGAATTGCATGGCTAAGTGTCCATGTAAACTCATAGGCAAGGTGCTGCTCATATCAAGTCACTTTACTGTCATGCTATCTTCCTGATGTTATACTGGTCTTTCAGACTGAATAACCACATATATAGCAAGGAAAAGAACAAGTACTCCGAGTATTTTACTGATGAAAAATACTACAGAACACCAGGTTCCCAAATCAATTCACATAAGACACTCCAAAATGGAGCAACAGATATGTAAAGCACTGGAAACTGCCTCCAATGTTACTGGTTAGCAAAAAGTCCTCCCCAAACTCTTGGACACTGGGAAGTGACACAGCAATTAAAAAAGCAGTGACCTGAGGGCGAGGGGAGCAGGAAGCATGAGACAGCCTAAAAAGCCAATAAGTGAAGCTATGATTCTTCATTTGGGTTTCAAGGAAATTTCCCAAGGGGGAAAAAACCAAAACAACAAAAAAATAAAGCCAAAAAACCCCAGGATGTTCTTTCCACTTGAGACAAGATTTAAAACTGCTGGTTTTGTTCTGCCTTCACTCCTCCATATTTTATTTCTGAAAAATTCTGTTATTCATAGAATCATAGAATGCTTTGGGTTGGAAGGGACCTTGAGGGATCATCGAGCCCAACCCCCCTGGCAGTGAGCAGGGATTGAACCTGTGCATTGTTCCAGTTTGAATATATTTCATCCACCCAAAAAAAACAGTTAAGTTCTGAGTTACCAGAAATAAAGAGTTTGAACTCAGAACTTAACTGGCTGTTAGGTGGATGAAATACACTCAAACTGGAACAATGATTAACACAGAAATGTCCCTTTCTGAACCCAGTGAACTCAAAGCTTTATTTACAGGGCTCCTAATGTTTAAATTGTACCACTTTTACTTAAAAAGTATGGATCAAAGGCTGTTAGCTTTGGAGGAAGATTTAAGGAAAAGAAGTTGCCTATCGAGAAGGTAAGAACTCTTTGCAAGAAAAACCTTTAACTAAGGGGTTTTTGTTTGGTTGGGTTTTTTTATTATTTTTACAATATGAACATTCATAATGTATAATGAAATACCGTGAATATAAATAAAAGCCAGTCACAAATACAAACAAATTACTATGTGCCGTACATCCAGGAATAAAGTGGAATGATTTGAAAGCAGCAGAAACGCAAGGAGGCCAAGCATATCAGCGTGAGGGCAAAAAGAATGGTGTGACACACCTCACTGCAGCATTTCTGGAAGCATCTCTCTTCCCCTTTCACTTCCCGTGACACTATCAGCAGATACTCTGACTGCTGGGCCCGGCCACAGCTGTACTGGGAACCTATACTGACAAGCTGAAATAACCAATCAAAGCAAAACACAAAAAGAAACCTTTGTAAAGCTGAAGCACATACCATTATCCAAATCGTACAAATAACAGATGAGCTCAAACGTTCAGGTAACGTTTTACTTGCCACTAGAACAGGTTGCTATCAAGCTACAACTTTCATTTCAACATACTGAAAATTTACGGAGCCGGTCGCAAAGCCCTTTGTAATTTCAAAGGAAGTTAAGAGTTACTGATAGTAAGTCAGAAAACTCCCCGTATCACTGTGGTGTAGCCCACTACTCTGAAAAACATAAACAAAGTTTGGTGCATTATGAAAGCGAGCATTACTTTCCTGTCATACTTGCCAAGTGCAGAAGGTAACGTGGATATAAAACTGGAAAGTCTTATGTAAAGCAATATATCAAGCCTGGGTATGAAAGAGCTTCATCTTGTTCCAGATATTGATAAACAAAATGCAGCTAAGGAAACATATTGAGTCAACTAGAGGAAAAAAGGTTGAGTGCTCTAAATTGGTTTTAGAAGGGGTAATTTACAGAAGATCCAAGAAAATAACTGGAGTGGAAAAAATTGTCTGTCTTGTTCCCATAAAAACATCCCAAAAAAACCAACTCTGTTCACACTTGCCAAATGTCTAATAATTCAGAAGTTCAGAACAACCTCAGCTAAATTTCTCAACTTCTTATTACAAAAAATATTTTGTCTTAATAATACATGACAATTCCTAGCCCATTTAAATTAAAGCATAGCCTGCCAGTGCACTTGAGGAAGATTAGAGCTTTAAATTAAGTGTGAAAAACTAGACAACAACTGCCTATTTTGAATAAACTGGAGATTACTACTGATGGGAAGGCTCATGAACAGTAAATTTATTTTTACCCTGCTATTGTTATGTGAGCAATTTTGAAGGCAGCAGCTAAATACCGTCCTCCTCATATAGTGAACATATTTAAGACAGCATTATGGTGACAGACTCAGGTTACATTAAATTGTTAAAATTTACATGACTGACACACCACTGCTGTCTAAAGCCTTTGCATATAGCAATTTTGTATAGCCCAAAGTTTCTCGTTATGCAGTACTGCCAAAATATTGGTTTTCCTGATTGCCTGAAGAGGTAACAATTGAAGCTAAAAATCACTTACAAAACAGCCCCCTGAAATCACAAAAGCGGGGCAGCACCACTATTGGCAGTAGTTTTTGGACTGGTACTGATACATAATTGCAGTATTCTAGCAGCGCTTTCAGTCGTATTCTTTGGAAAAGTGCATCAGTACATCTGCGTAAGTGCACCAGAAGTTTAACACATTTCACTCCTATTCAATCATCACATCCAATTGTATTTTACAAGAAAATTTTGAACTTTTAAGGGGAAAGAAGTATTTTTGATCAAAACCAACCACTTAAACATGTTACATGGGGCACAGAGCACAAGGACTCTCAACCCATAGGAATATTACTCCTCCGAAAAAGCTGATGATTTGTATCCCACCAATGATAATATGTACAAAGCACGGTAGGTGCTACCCCAAAGACTGCTTCTGAAGGAAGGATGCTGCTGAGCAACACCAGCTTAGAAAAAATAAAAAATTATGGAAATGCTACAGTGTTCTCAAATGTTAACAATAAAACTGTTTAGACTGTACAGAATATTCTCATGTTTCAAGTGAATAATGTCTGCTAAAAGCAGGTCTGCAACACAACCAAAGGAGAGAACGGCCTGGTCTGAGGTAATGAGAAGCTGAGTGTCACGAGACCATGCAGCCATTGTGTTTATCTACTTCAAACTGTGTCCAAGAGAGAGCAACATGGGGGAGGGAGGAAGTAGGGAGAAAGCTGGATGCAACAAGGGCATAACATTCAAGAAAAACACTGGAATTTTCCAGTTCTAAAAGAGATTCTAAATTCTAAAAGAGATTATAATAGTTCTTTCAGCAGTTGCACTGTCCAAGCAGTATTACTCCTAAATACACTATCCCCAAAGAATACAAGGCTTTAGGACAGGTAAAAGCCATAGTATCATTTAATCTGTTAGAAAGGAAAGAATCTCTATTTGTAATGACAGTTTCTCATGACAAAGAAGAATGTCAAAAAAACTTTGTCAACGCACCAGTCAAAGAACAGTCATGTGCCTGAAGTGAGAGCTTTCTTCGGGGACTTAAACAACATTCAGCTTCTGGCAGGCCAAACAGACCTGGTCATACTTGAGCCGCAGAACTGAAGCACAAGAAGCTTCCTCTGTGCTGGTTTAGTTTGTTTGATCATGGCTGTCTCCATGACACTAGCACCTTACACATTTCTTCAAACGTAAACAAAACATTCTTTTACCTTTGTGTACCATGCTTTTTAAACATGTTCCTTTGTTGTGTTACTAGAGTGAGACTGCACAGGATAAGAGGCTTGTGCTTATTCCAATCTCTCCTACAGTTGGCACCAGACACCGAAAAAGACGCCGGCAGCTGAGCCCTTGTGTCTCACTCCAGAGTTAAGAGATTCATTGCTCCAATGCAGTTTAAATATTCTGGTAGGTTAGGAATGTGAAGGATGAAGAGCCCGCGTATTAGTTTCTTATTTACAGAGACGAGCAAAGATAACAGAAAGATCTTCTTGCAATTTTACAATGTATTCTTGAATGTACGCACAAAGCTGTTTTTATGCAGTGCAAAGAACAAAAACATTCACATAGCTCACACCTATCCAGCTTCACATCCACGCTGGTTAAGTTCACCCTCCTATGTGTATCAGTCCTTTACGTGAAGAACCATTGTTTGGGCCTGACAAACATTTCTTCCCAAGCTCATCTCTTTTACCCAGAGCTCTTTATATCTGACCTACCATTCGTATAAACTTGTATTAGTTAATTTTCATTTATTCACCCTTCAAATGCTCATGTGTAGACACCAAAGAATTACATTTCAAACACAATATAGATGTTTTTATAGAATGTCAGCACAATTTACCTCCTGGAAAGCTACAGTTTTTTTGTTCTCTGACAAATAAGAATACAAATATCAAATTTTAACTTAACTGTGTATCTTTATCTATCCACTTTCTGAAAATGACTGCACTTAAAAAGATACATAGAAATGACTTTATACTCCTCTTTCACACAACTGAATTTTTAGAAGACTTTGTAATTATATCTCATATCGGTTTTTTACCTGTTCAAATTTCCAGCCATCGGACATTGTGGAAACCATTTGAGTGAGTTCCTCTTCCTGGCACTGCAGCACCCTGTACACATGTTTGACTGGCACCTTCAAGAAGACATAAAAGATGCTCAATACAGCATGGAATTCACTATGTTTGTGACTTGTCTGAAGTTGCCATTATTCTTTAGAAATGGTAAGCAACACCACCTTGAATACCTTGTCTTTCTTTTTTTTTTTTTTTATAAAGAAATCTCATCCGTTCAGAATCATCTTGCAGAAAACTCAATGCTTCATGAATGTTTCAGGGACTAAAAGTGCTACTTAACAAAATAACTGTAACAAAATAATCTTAAGACTTACCTATCGTTCCATGTGGTAGCAAACCACATGATTCAAAATCAAGGTTGAGGTTCTGCAGAGGCCTACCTAACTTTAAGGAATGTCCGACCATGTTCAAAAATGTCTTTATCTCCCTGTCAAAGTTTCCCATCCAGAGCAATGAATAACTAGGACCATTTAAGCTGAAACCCTTTAGAAAATGCTATCAGAGCAACTCTGCTATCCCACAACCTGGCTTCAAGAGAAATTTGGCAACATGAGTTTGCAGTATCTCCATGAAGACTCAGTTATCAGGGAAGGCCAGAGTAGCAGAGTTAAAGAACAAACTTGAATACTTTACTTAACAGCTTATCATATTCACTTTCATGAAGAAATACTCATGAGTTGCTATGAGAAGAGGCAGAGTCTTCTCAACTTCAGAGCACTACCAATAAAGAAACTAACTTTGCTACAAAAGCATATGGCAGGAGCTAAACAGCATCTGTAAGTATGCTGTATAAATATACTGCATCAACAGCAGCTATACCGTAGCTAGGCAATCTCATCATATTCAGAGTATTTAAATGTATATGAGAAAAACATACTCTACAAAAGCTGTTTTCTAAAATACCTATTTCCAGAAATGGTATTATAACAAATTCTACTATTACCAGACATTTTTCAACAATTCTTTAGAATATTTTCAGGTTTTAAACAAGAACTGGAACTATATGCCTGAGCCCTTTGTAAGCACACTGGCAGGTACTGGCAGTTAAGAATATTAATCTTTGCGTACTAATGGTTCCAGCTCAGCCAGTGATGGAGGCAGCCATTCAGTATCTTACTGGAGAAATGAGCAGTTAAGGGAAAAAAATGGAACCCACCCTCTACTTGCCATAGAACAAATAATCAAAAACACACTGGAAAACAGCCTCACCTGCGAGATTTTGCTGTCTCTTTCTCTTATTTTGTCCTTTACCAGTTTTATTAGTGATGTGATATTGTAGAATTCAGCCTCTTCCAGTACACCTAGTACGAGAACATTTTTTGGAAAGAGAGTGTAACCAAAGATTCCAGGCCAAACCCACCAACCAGTTCGTAAGATTATCTTCTCTACAGCTACAGAAAATGATTTATTTTGCCCTAGTTCATTTACCAACCTAATGATTCTGGCTTCCTTCAGGCACATGTAGTTCAAAGTTTAGCTCATTCTGAAAAACTGTCATAAACCACCCCCCCCGAAGAAAACTGATGCCATTTCACATACAGAATGACAGGCAGGAAACAAAAAAAAGGAGCACAAATGCCATTCCATAGCAGACTGATAGACCACCATAGCTCAGGCCCCGTCTCAGGCTGGAATACAAAAAAGAAATTCAAATAGTCCTACTGAAAAGCTCTGTAGCTGCTAGTGTGCAGAAAATTTTTCTTCCTGTCATTTGAGATCTCAGACCCTGAAACAAAAGCTTAAAGATACATACTACAGACTGCTCCCACTCACATGTTCAAGCTTTACCTGTTCTATGTGTTAACAATGTACATGGAAATTATATTTCACATTATTTCCTGCTAATATTGTTAGACGGTATTTCTCTTTGATCAATTTCTTCAATACCTTACCAACACAGTTGTAGTGCTACATCGTTTAAAACAGTCATCCTCCATTAGGGTAAAATTTATATGAATTGGGGACAGGGAGGGAGAAGCTGGGGGCAGATTTACTCTTCAAGAGTATACTCTACACATCTGAACATCCCAGAACTTCACTCTTACTTCGCTTTACATCTTCAAAAGCTTGTTTCCCAGCCAGTATTCTTTTGCTTGAAGAGGACTAAACCCAAATATTTCACAGCGTCATACAAGAAAGAGACAAGATTATATGATAAAAGGCATCTCCCCTGATGTTTGAATATTTATGTTCTATTTCTAACTGGGATGGGGGTTGTGAAATCAGGAATCATACTCAAAACACTCAAATAACAGCATATACTGTAACTGCAGGATACCTATCAGCTTCACTTGAAAGAGATTGAAATGCTAGACTGATTAAGATTTACCATCTACTTGTAAGTTACTTTTAGTGACTCAAAAGCAGTGAAATTAATAAGCAAGCGACAAGAAAGCAAGAGATTTAGTAACATCTTACCTTCCTCAGCTAGGTCCTTGTTAATAACCAGTTTCCCATGTCTGAGATAGTTCAGCACTGGCCCAAAGTAGGTCGGGTCTCTGTCTATTAAATAGGCACCTGTTTCATCCTAGATTAGAAAAAAATAAAAACAAAAACAAAAAAAACCCAAACCAAAACAAACCAAAACAAAAAAACCCCAAAACACCACAAAAAACCCCCCAAACAAACAAACAAAAAAGCCAAAAAAACCACAATGATTTGAATGTCTAAGGAGGAATTACAAGCCAGTATTCAGCTTGGCATCTGAATAGCAAGCAGGTATTTAGACATAGTCACATCCCTTAAAACCAGATTTATTAAAGACATTGAAAGGAATTCAACAATGTAGTTGTAATTGTATCAGACTGATCACTCAACTCAACCATGTACTACACAACTTCTCTTACCTGACCAATTACCCCCAACCCCTTATCAAAAGATTATCAACAGTCAGCATGAAAGACCTAAGCAGTAAGTGAGAACACTGAAAATTAAGGTTAAAAATAACACTCAAAACCAGGAAACTATCATTTTGCCTGGAAACCTGAAGAATCAGAACAAAGGGCACATTCCAATGAGGTTCAAATACCAGGTTTTTTGTTTTGGTTTTGGTTTGTTTGCTTTTTTTTTTTTTAATTAAAGGCAAACAAACCTACCTTCTCTTTAACCTCAACACTTTGTTCTAAAAACTTTTGGGTTTGTCTTAGCTCAGATGTACAAATACTCACAGGGCACTGAGAACAGCTGTGTACCAAGCAAGGATTGTATGTGCATCTTCCAAAAAAAAAAAAAAAAAGTATACTGAAGATGCAGTTCCTACCTACCTCATGCAGACAAAGAAGGGATAGATTGAACTAACTGATGTTCACTTTACTGAACAGAGTACAGCATTTTGTGGAATGCAAAACACAGTTCAAGAAATTCACCTGCATAGCTGATATTCTTGACAGATAAAGGAGCAGAATTGATACTTCCTACGTAATTTAGAGTCTATGTGTGAACACCTGTGATCAATGCAGTACTGCCATACTTTGTGCTGGCCAGGGGTCTAAGGAAGATTGGTAAGACAGATGTCTAATAGATCCACTGCTCCTTTCTACTATCAAGTGGATCACTGACAGCATTAATTCTTTAGCACCTAAAGTTTTGGTGCAACAGATATCCTGCAGATATATACTGGAGAGATATGGCAGCACCCCAAATATATTTTTTTACTTATTTTTAATATTCTAGTAGTTCACAGGAGATACTAAAAAAGCATCACCACCACCACCAATCCTAGCTAAATTTGAATCAATCTCCCCAAAAAATACATTTGATAGAGACACTTGTTGTTCCACATGAAAAAAATTCTACTGACCCAATCCTTTGCATTTGGACATTAATGCTGGTATGTAAAGGTTTGATTACTGAACTGTGATACCTGAAAACTCTCTCTACTTAAGAGTATCTCAAGTTCCTAAAATGTTTCATTGGAAAAAAGATGGTGGATGTATTTTCAGGTACATGGATTTAGTTTCTGGATAACTGCACTTGTCTAACCATGGTTGGTAGAATGTAGAAAGACCACAGCCTGAACTACAAAAAACATAAACATATTTCTGTAACTACAAGGTAAATGCTTTACACACTTTCGCACACTATCATTTCAGAAGTGAACGGGTTTTATATTTTATATAAAATTAACTGGTCAGGAAAATGCTAATACATTAAAATGTGCTGTCAGTTAACCTACACTCAGAGCAGACAGTGCTTGATGAAGTCTTATCACAATTCCTTCTGGCCTAAACTCATGGTCTCACAGAAGTGAAACTATGCACCAAAACCAGCAGGCAGATGACGTGCATAAAATGGTATATTTTTAATGTTTCCCATTTAAATATACTTACATTACCCAAACACTTCAACTTACATTACCCAAACACTTCAAGAATGAACAATCTGCAGATACAACCCAAAGAAATTAAATTAGCTGAACCTGTATGAATTATAAGATGAAAAGTATTATTTAATACAGGAACAGCAACTAGTGAAGGTGGAAAGGAAGATCAAACTGATAAAAAGAAACACCGTTTTAAAGAAAAAAGTGCAGTCTTTGGTCATCAGTTGAACTGATTTAAGAAACATATGGGCTTACAAAACTGGAAGTCCTCCCAGTTAAGGGAAATAAGTCTCTAGAAACAAGCTTCTGCAATAAGATTATTGCATTCTTTTACACTACAGTGTTTTCTCACATCACCCTCCGAAGCAATACTGGCCACCAGCTCTACACCATTACAGAGACAGACAGGTGGGTCACAGAAGCAAAATAACTAAAAGCTCTAAATGAAATCTCAAGTAACAATGGTTACTTCACCCCTTGCACAAAAGGCCTCAAAACAGTTGTTTTGTTTTGTTTTTTTAACCAGCTACGGTGTCTGAAATTACTCTTACCTCAGTAGATTTCTATATACTAAACAAGCTTCCAACAAAAACACAAAGGGAACAAGCTATGTCAGGCCTTCTCTTTCAGCTTCCATCCAATGACAGGTCACCAGCAACCTGCACTACCTGTATTCATTAGCTTAGCACGCACACCAGAGCTTATTATTAGCACTTGCACCAAACATGCTTTACACATACTGACAGCACCCACTCTGTGAAACAGAAGATAGAATTGTTTTTGTCTTCTACCTATTTTTAACCATTTTCCTCATCATCTACAAACTTTTTTTTCCGTTCCATCATTCCTCGTCTCACTTTTTTTCCTGTTATACTAATTCCTTTCCTAACCACTATCAAGTTTTCCTCCTCACCAAATTACCATCTAGAATCTATAAAAATGCTTAATCTTCACACTGATAACTAAAAATACCGTACCAAATGTGTGTAATATACCACATATGAATAAAATGCCATCTCACTAGTGTGATAGTTTACTCCATGAAGCCTTTCGGGCAACAATGTGCCTTCAAGAAATAATAAAAAAGAAGAAAAAGAAACCCAAAAGTCTTACAATTTATGGTGTAATAGTAACTTATTTTTCTTTTTTCATTAGTAAATAGCAATAGTTAAAGAACTCTGGCTAAATTCTAGCACTGGACGATCCAAATTCTGTCAATAGGGTTCACTGTAGTATGTAAATTCCATGCAAAATTATGAATAGAGTGAACAATTCAGAGTAACTGGCCACTTGCTTACCCAGATTACAGATACGGAAAACATGTGTTGATTAACATTCTTCCAAAGAGAAAGGTGTGTGTCTTGGACTTTGACTTTACAACTCAGGTGTGCTACAGACTAGCACCAGGGAGTCAAGACCCAAAATGTAAACCATTCAGTAAAAAAATACTGTAACAATATGCAAAGAATGCACAGCCAAAAGAGGCACAAAACTGACTTTGTAGGCATCTTCCTATAGAAAATTCCTTCTCACTCCTCCTTTAGAGTGAGCTCCCTGATTATCCTTCAATGTACACTAAGCACTCCATGTTGAAATCGCTAAGAAAAGCTGATTACACTAGACCTTTAAGCATATTTATGTAAACATACATCCAATAAAAGCTGACACAGTAATGCAGTCATCTGCTCCACCTAGAACTCTCAAAATATGGGTCATAAGTCTTCCCACACTTTCAGAATATTGTCAGCATTGGCTTCATCCACATGCACATGAAAAAATGTATTCTCATGTGTAATTAGCATTTTGGACACTCTTTCTAAAAGAAACATTCTTGGTTTATTGAAAGGTAAGAATAATAAATTGCATTTCAAATGCGATCTAGACAGTTTAAAGGCGTAGCTACAGTTTGCACAGACATAACTGAACTGGCTTTAAGCTTGCCAGCTTGAATATTAACAGACTGTGATGTCCCAGCTATGCCACTTCCCCTGCTAACTAGTTAATTAGGCTTCTACAAGCTTTGAGCAAGTTTCAATCTTCACTGACACAACTCGTGTGGGTATTTTGATGCCATTTCCCAAGTTTCAGGTGAATACCACAAATGCCAGACAAATCTATATTCTAGTAACATCTCAGTTTTCTCTCTTGTATGTATATTTTATACAAATAGTTGTTAAAGTTTACCAGAACAGCAGCTGAAACTCAAGATTCCTCTCTATTCAGTACAGTCACATCACCCCGCATTTCAACCCCATAGGTGTTCCACGCAAATTTTGCCACTTTTTATATGGATACTCAAAACAAATGCTCTAGTCGTCTTTGCACATCCAACACAAAAGTGCTAACTAACCACACAGGTGTTTGTATCTCTACTCAGTTCTATTTTTGCATTACATTCTTCTCTCTACCAAGAGTTTTTCCTTCCTTGTCCCTAAGTCCTAGACCTTTTCCATACCTGCTCCTTTTTAAAAGACATTATTGCTGAGGTACAGTGAAGGCTGCATTTGTTTATTACCACTCTCCCACACCAACGTTTAGTCCAAGTTACAAATACCATGGAATTTTAGAGGCAGCCTAATAACTTGCTCTTAAATTTTCAATTACCTGGTTCAGCACACCAATGAAAAGTCAGTGTAGCTCACAATCATATTTCTTTTTCCTTAAGAAATAACTGTAAAGCATATCTACAATCCAGCATTTGAGGAGACCGGAGACTCAAAATGCACATGTGTTTTCAAAGAATTTCAAAAATATTGCCCAGAACATTTAAATGATCGTGTACTCCAGCCTCAAACATTTCCACTTCAATTTCTATAGAGACTGAGGCTCAAAGGAGTCATAACGAATACTTAGCCTGATCTTCATTTAAAACATACATATGACTCAATTTATTTACAGTGAAATTTAACCTTCAGAAAGTAGTGGTGAGACCTAACCATTTTGTGCAAGCCATTCCAATAACTAATTACTGTTGCTGTTAAAAATATGTACTTTCTAGCTAGCCTGGACATCTATAGTTTCACACTTCACTACCTGGATCTCACAATACCTTGGCTAGGCTGAACAGGCTTCACCATTAGATTTCTAGTCTCCACGTATGCACTTCTGGACTGAGAAGTCACTACTTAAACTCCTTGCCAAAAAAACCCAGGTTTGCTCTTTATAATCTTCTGCCAGATCATATTTCTTCTTGTGACTACCCTCCA